AAGTTGGACACTTAACCGACTGAGCCACCCAGGCGCCCCAAATTCTTTATCTTATGTAGTAAAATTGATAAGGTTGTTTTTAGTTTCTTAAAAATATGCTTGGACAAGGCTTTCACTTTTTTAAAAAAGTGTATTTTGAGAGAGAGAGAGACACAGCATGAGCAGGGGAGGGGCAGAGAGAATCCTAAGTAGGCTCCACACTGCCAGATGCAGGGCTAGAACTCATGAACTGTGAGACCTACCAAGAGTAGGTCACTTAACCAGATAGAGGCAGCCAGGCGCCCCAAGCCTTTCACCCTTTTAAATTCTGATACAATAATCTGCATTTTCTTTTATATTATAATTTATTTTTACTAAAACCAGGAGTATGCTGCATATAGCAGTGGTTCTCTAACTTGTGTGGTAATTGACAGAAAAGGAAATGCAGTGGGTCTGGGGTAGAGCCCAGTCTTTGCATTTTTTATAAGAGAAATGCTGATACATAAAATATGTAAATAATTTTAATGTTGAATTTGGTGAAGGAATTCCTCCCCACAGTGATCCTTTTGGAACTGCAAATCATACTTTCTAGAGAAGTGAACATACTGAAGCTACATAGTCAATCAGACAAACTCAGGGTTCATGACTGGGTCATAATTTTAAAAAATTAACCACTATCCATGTTTCTAGAATCAACAGGAACAATAAAACAAAATCTTAGATGAGGGTAGTTTGAGAAATCATAATATCTGATACACACAGGCATATATATGTATATGCATACACATAGATAATACTTCAATGACTTACAAAGTACTTTTAAATGTTTCTTGGTGATGAGGGGTGGGGTAGAGGGGAAATGTCCTAACTTGAGGCTAAGTCTTACCTTCCTCTCTAATTTATACAAGTTGAGCAAGTCAGCTGACTTGGTTAAGGGAAGCCTGCCAGAAACCCTTGGGAGGGAACTCACCCTAAGGCAAATATTAGGTACCTAAAACCTTAGTCATTTTTGGAGATTATTGGGAGAGATTCCAATTCTGAATACATAGCATTGTGTCTGGCTTGCAAGTTTGTCTCCTAGCCCAGGTCTCAGTGAACTCATGTTTGAATCCAGTGGAGAAACGAGAGGCTTTCAGAAAAAAAGGGACAATTTTGCTAAGAATTCTTTAAAACATTGAGGTTTAAGCAGCACTGGGATGATATGCACCTGTATTATATTAAAACCGAAGGAGGGGCATTCTCCATTTACCTGTAGGAGACTGAGTTCAGCTTTGGCCCAGAGGGACTCCAGAGAAATCAGTGAAGCTTTGCAACTGGAGGACCCAGGCACCTTGGCTGTGGTGGGGGTCATGGAAGGACCAAGACCCAGGGAAAAAGGCAGCTATTCCCAGTAGATGTGGCAGTGTCCAAGGGAAGGGAATAGCAGGACAGAAATAGAATGTGTCATTCACCTGGAATCTCACAGGAATTATTTGTGAGTGTACGTGAAACCTCCTTTGGGTTCTATCCACTGAATATTTGAAGGGTATCTTATAGGGGTTGGGGGTCTTGCATATGCAGGTGGAAGAAAACCATAGAGCTCTAGGATCTTCATTTGGCTCCACAGCAGCCTTGTAAATCCAGCATTATTCCTATTTAAATAGAAAAAGAATGACCTTTAAGTAGAAGTACCTGGTTTATTTTTCTGCCTAAGAGATTTAAAGGAAACATGGGATTTACTTTTCTTTAAAGTTCTCACAAGTATTTATTAAGTGCCACATTGTCTTTATAAGTTGATTGACAGTTTTTAAATTTTTCCCCATATTGTTTTTTTCAACAAAAGCAAAATATGTTTGTCTTGAAAAATGAGAAGCTCCCATTAAGCAAAATGAAAAACCAAAACACCTGTTATCTTACCACATGGATAGCCAGTTAAGACATTTAAGTATATACTTTCAGTTTTTTCTTTGCATAATAATATACAAATATACATTTTTTACAAAAATGGGATGCTACATATACTTTTTGAAAATTGTTTTCACTTCACAATATATAATGTACACCTTTTCATGCAAATGGGTGAGAGGGAGACTTGCAGCTTGTGGGTGGGGAAAACCCAATTTTATGCCAGTTACAAGCAAAACACCTAAAATAAAGCCACGCAAAAAGTTAAAATTGAGATGGGGAAAGTGCATGAGATGAGAAAATACAAACAAAGTTCAGGTGGCAACCTTCTATCAGGGGAAACAATTAAAGGCTGAACACATTAAATAGGATAAGGACGGTTCCGTCTCGCCTTCCAATGCATGACCATTAATTTGTTTCGTACTCTTTTCATTTCTTCCATCTCCTCTGCCACCTTTATCATCTCCTCGTTGCTCAAATTTCGGCCGTGTATGTCCCCTCTAAATTGCGGGCGAGAGCGAGCCAGCCTCTCTTTGAAGCTTCCTTCTTCCAGCTTATGTTTTCCCACTCCACAAGGAGGCTGCTCCATGGGAGGGCGCTCTTCAAAAAGGTCCCTTCTAGAAAGGCGCTCCGGAGGAGGGCGCTCCTCGGACACGAGCATCTCGGGAAGGAGCTCAGGAAGGAGCTCCTCAGGAAAGAACTCCTCCTCTGATGACTGCTCCTCAGAAGACGGTTCTTCCGGAGACTGCTTTACGGGAGAGTGTTCCACAGGAGGCCGTTCCTCATTCGTCTTGGGCGCGCTCTCTGGCTGTTCCTCATTTTCTTTGCATGATTTTTCCATGTTGAGGATCCTCTTTAAGTACAGTTATTCATAGGAGACAAGGCAGAGTCGAGTAAACACACTTGGTGGCTGGATCAAAACCCTGGCCACGGGTTCCCATAACTGCCTTTTCCTGAGTTGGGGGCCCAGGTCCCCCACCTATGCTTGTCGAGGGGCTCTCTGGCCCTGGGGACCGCGCCGCACCCTGTTAGCCCCGATCGCCCCCTCCTTCCCGAAAGCCCACCATTTTCCCAGCAGGCCTTGCCAGAGGCCTCTCCCATTGTGACAGGGGCGGGGCGGGGCGGTGGTACTGCGGACTCCGTTCCAGTCAGCGTCCTCCCACGCACCCCATCCCGGGCCATTGCCCACCACTTCCCTGACCTGGACCTCTCCTGGCGGTTTGCTCTAGGCCTCCTCTCCTCGAGGCGCACCGCTGTGACCCGCAGACCTGCAGACAGACGCAAGACAGGGTAGGGGGCGGAGAGTGGGGAGGAGGGAAGGACTAACTGACAACATACGTCCCTTTCCTGGGCATTAGCCGCCGCCCCCGCGTCAGCCCCTACTGCCTCCCCTCCCCCATGCCCCACCATCCTATACCTCGCAGTGTTCGTCATTTCTTTTCAGGCGGCAAGTGGAAGCGAAGGATTATTTAGAAACTATTTCTAAGTCTGTGACTCCCAGGGGGCCCCACTCACCTCCCCACCTCGCCCCAAGGCCACCATTTTCTACACCGAAATGTGGGAGGGGGGGTGGGGGAGGGGGGGGCGGGGCTGGATATAGGGAAAGGCCTGATACTCTCTGCCATCCCGATCCCAGGGGTTATTGGGCAGCATCGACACTCAAACCGATTTAAGGGGACCAAGGGGACTTACTTCCTCCTGCTTTTTCCCCTTGACCAAAGGGCAGTAGGCAGACGGTGTCTGGACAAGCAAAAAGGACCTGGACGAAAGGGACTTGGGCAGACATAGGCTCCTGGTCACGTGAGGGCCGCGCGTCACAGCCTAGCTCAGATCCCCAGTTAACCACTTTGACCGGCGGCGGCCTTGCTGCAACACCCTTCCTGTATTTCGCAACTCTCAACACACCAGGCATCCTCGCTCACCTCTTTGTTTATATTTGCCTTTTCTGGTTACCAGAGACTGTCAGCATCCAGTCTTGGGAGTTATTGCCTCTTCCTCTTTGCTGCTTACCCTGATACCACCTCTTATTCTCCTGTTGTCAAACACCAAGGCCCATTATTTCACCTACAGTCCAGATCCTGCACTGAAATTTGACTATTTTTACTTAATGAATCAGTATCATGTCTCCTTTCCCAGTCTTAATCCACATCCATACCCATGACTCCATCATGTCCGTTTATGCTCTATCAACATGGTTTTCACTTCTTGTCACTTTTATGGAAGATAAGCTTTCACTTTTCCATGACCTGAGGATTTTTTTGAGCCCCCAAACCTGTATCACAAATAGAGGCTGCAGTCTAAATTCGTAAACATTCAGTTCTAGAACTCTAGAAAGAGTTGTTTGTAAAGTATGCAAATCTAAAAACATAAATACTTTGATGATTTTCATAAATCAAAGTACACATTTGTCCATCTAAGTACAAAAAATCTAAAGATTCATTTTCTGAAATGGGAGCATTTGGGGTGGAGAGTGTGGCATTATATATACAATTAAAAAAAAATTAGGTAAACTCCACGCCACACATGGGGTTCCAACTCGACCCAGAGATCAAGAGTTGCATGTTCCACCAAGTGAGCCAGCCAGGCACCCCTATATATACTATTATGTGTGTGTGTATCACACACACACACATGCAAACACACACTCTTCAGTAATTATTCATAATAGAAGAAATATTTTTCTGGGACTCTAAATCCTTAACCGGCCACCTCTTGGTGTTGCTGGTTGATAAAGTGTATATTAATTCATTAAATCAGCAAATATCTGGGTCCTGGACTGCTGTATCCAAAAGATTCAGCGCAGAAGACATTCATATTCAACTATGCAATAATTCTGTTCATCACACATGGAGTAGCAGGATTAAAACTATATTAACATACTCAATTGTCTTTACAAGTATGTATGTTTGAATCTAATGGTGTTTTTTTTTTAAGTTTATTTATTTTGAGAGGGTGAGCGTGAGTTTGGGGGGGAGGTGCAGAGAGAGAGAGAGGGCGAGAGGGAGAATTCCAAGCAGACTCCATGCCATCAGTACGCATCCGGAAGCGGAGCTCGAGCTCACAAACCATGCCATCATGACCTGAGCCAAAGTGGGACTTTTAACAGACTGAGCCACCCAGGTGCCCCTGAATCTAATGGTGTTATGATCTTCAATCTCCCATCCCTGCATCTTACCTACTCACATCAGCCTGGATGCTACTTCTCATGCAGGTGCCCTTTCTTCTGGAAAGTAGACTATACCTCTCCTCTCTGTATTTTATACTTTCAGGGTTGATGGCTGTCAGATCTGTTAGGACCCTGGGATTTTTTTTTTTTCAAGCCCAGGCCATCTAGTAAGTTTCCAAACAGAAATTCATTCAGGAAATTTCCCAGTTTAAGAGCTTTTTTTCCCAACATCTAATTTATTTTGTGTTGAGATAGAAGCAAGACAGATATTAGTTCACTTTTATATCTTTTCTCTAACTTTTACTTTTTCATTTTTCAGTGATGTGTGTCTTTTAAAAGCCAAGTTTCACTATACCTTCTTTATTCTTTTCACCAAAGTTTGGCCTCATCTCTTTCCAAGAGGACCCCCATTTTATTCGCATTTCATCATTTCTGACCTTTTCCCCCTTACATCCTGTGATGGAGAACTCACTACCTTAAAAGACACCCATTGAAATTTCAGACAGTTTTATTCAGAGTAGTTTTTACTTTTGTTGAGCTGAGGTCTGCCTCCCAGTAGTTGACATACATTTGGTGTTGATTCTGCTTTCTGGAGCAGTACAAAACAAGTATTAGAGTTAATATTCTAGTTCTTTCCCTTTCCCAGCTGTGAGACATACCAGGCAATCCACTTGAATTTTCTGTGACTCAACTTCTTCATCTGCAAAATTGGAGACATAATAGTACGTATCTCAATGGATTGATAAAATCAGTAAATGAGTCAGTATATGTAAAGGACTTGGAAAGGTGCCTAGTACATAGAAAGCACCCTGTAAGCATTAACTATAATAATATAAATAGTAATAATAATAGTATGACCTAACGCTAATAATATTACTAATTATTGTTTTTTAATTAACACTAATTGAACACTTATGCCAGGCATTGTGCTAAGCATTTTCAATATCCTATCTCATTTAATCCTTAAACAATCACACCAAGACTTTTTTAGTCTTAACCTCCCCAGTTATTTTCAGTTCTTTCTAATGTGATATACTTTTTCAAAGTCACTCACCATCCTACATGCTCCTGAATTCATAAATGTCTCTGAAAAAATACTGAATGTTCTGCCTTGTGTTGAATGGAGTGATCTTATCACACCCTTCACTATAGAATAGCCACTATACACCTGTAGATGAATCCTAAGATCATAGTTAGATTTTGTGGATGCCATATTACACAGTTGAATCCACTTTAAATTGCAATCACCTGACACTCCCAAATCTGTTTCACACATCCCTGTTAATAGCCTTATATGAATAACTTTAATTTTAAAAATTTTAATTCCAGTACAGTTAACATATAGTGTTAAATTACTTTCAGGTGTACAATATAGTATTCAATAATTCTATCTATATATTACTTAGTGCTCATGAAGATAAGTGTATCCTTAATCTCTTTTACCTATTTCACCCATTCCCCACCCCCTACTTCCTCTCTGGTAACCATTTGTTCTCTATAGTTAAGAGTGTGGGTTTTGGTTTTTTTTTTTTTTTTTGGTGTATCTCTTTTTCCCCTCTGTTTATTCATTTCTTAGATTCTACATATGAGTGGGGCGTCTGGGTGGCTCAGTTGGTTAAGTGTTAAGTCTGACTTTAGCTCAGGTCATGATCTTGCGTTTGTGAGTTCAAGCCCTGCATCGGGCTCTGTGCTGACAGCTCAGAGCCTGGAGCCTGCTTCTGATTCTTTGTCTCTCTCTCTCCACCCCTCCCCTGCTCATGCTCTGTCTCTGTCTCTCTCTCTCAAAAATAAACATTAAAAATTCTACATATGAGTGAATCATATGGTATTTGTCTTTCTCTGACTGGCTTATTTCACTTAGCCTTATACTCTAGCTCCATCCATGTTTCAAATGGCAAGATTTCATTCTTTTTTATGGCTGAATAATATTCCACTGTGTATATATACAACATCTTCTTTATCCATTCATCTATCAATGGACACTTGGGCTGCTTTCATAGTTTGGCTATTGTAAATACTGCAAAAAACAGGGGTGCATATATGTGAATAATTTTAATTTTAACCCAAGTATAGAAGCTTCTGTTTTTCTGGGTTAAATGTTGTCTTGTTAGATTTACTCCCTTATTCTTGGACAGAATCCAAATTCTGTCATTCAGTACATTACTACAAAATATTAATTTAAAGCATGCCATTAGTACTAAATAGGATGATAAATTCAGCAAGCTCAGGAAAGATCTGGAGGAGATCTCAGCAAAGAACTCTAACTTCACATGAAAAAATTATTTTCCCCTGTTGGGTTTGGCAGCCAAGAGTGTGCCCTGCCAGGCCAGTTCCCCTCATTTCCTCTCTCAATGTGACTTTGTAGGGTGGGATTCCTTTCTAGCGCTGCTGATAGAGGACACAGTTGCCTCTGAAAGCTCCCAAACCACTATAAATTAACCCTTGATGAGAATTTAGTAAACATGGGGGTCAGAAAAGGGAGATATAAAGAATTAGAACGGGGAATGGAAGAATGAAAACAATGTCTTTGTGTTGGCTCTAAGTCTCTGCCTGACAGTAACTGATTTGGGGTTCCCTTGAGAGAAAGCGCTCTCAAGAGGAAGTAAGATGATGGTGCATCTGCCTTGGTGACACCATTTGTTACAAGGGAATGTGGACTGCTACTTGTTTGTGTGTAGTTGGGGTGGGGGCTATGAAATAACCCTTCTCTTGGATTTGATTTGATACTGCTGACTTAGGGCCCTGTGAGGACATGTTGCTTAGGTCAAAATTTCTAGGGAAGATTTAAGTCTAAGAAATGCCATTTTAAAGGTGAAACTAAGGTCCTTGGAGGTTACAAATTGTTCCGATGGAAACACACGTGATACTAGCCGAGATAGGATTGAAACCCTAGCAGTATGATGTAAGAGAGGCAACCTTTAACCACCTTGTAAAACAGCTCCTGGGCAGTGGGCTCCAGGCACATTTACATGCAGCCAGGGTGGACGGTACAGGCCTTTTCAGGTAGCAGGAGTTGAAGGTATCAGAAGGCAAGCAGGGCAGCCATGCAAGCAAGGGGAAGCAGTCAGCCCCTGGCAGCTGCTGCCATGACAACCGTATCCAGGGGCGTGGCCTTTCTCTGGGGGATCTGAGGAAGCCCAG